AAAAAAAAAAAAAAACAGACAAACATAGAGCGGGGAGTAATATGAAAAAACAAACGGCAGAACGTAGGCGGGACCTAGAAACAAAAAAAGCGCAACAAAACTCACAAGATTCTCAGCAAAAAAAGAAAGGAGAATTCGGGAAAACCTGGGAGTCTCTCAAAACAGTGTACCCTTGGGTAACCGAAAGAGGTAGGGGTCACAATGGTTACAAATCAACTACAGGGTCCAACCCTAACAGGGTCTATCAGGAGTGTTTCAAGGCTTCCACATGTGCCACAGCTGTAGAGCTCTTTCCTGCCACGGGGAGCAGGGGAAACAAAACAAAGATCCCAGAGATTGCCGGCCTTTGATGGCTTCCGTGCTGACGTAGTGCCTGTGGAGCTAGCTTTGGTAAGCCTGGCGCACGCTGCAAAGTTGAACAGAGCTGTTAGGCTCGACAGCAACTGAACAGAATTCTGACATGGTAGGATTGTCTGGAATCAGCCAAGTCATGCCACAGCGATCCAGATCAAAGCTGAAGAAGCGGCAGTCGCTGTAAGGGGTTCTGGGATTGGAGCCCTCAGCTGCAGCTTCATCGTTCTGCTGCGGCTATGCGGCTTTGACATAGCCAGCCTCTGCGTCTTGGCGAGCACAGCTTCTGCATTCTTGCCCAGCGTGACTGCCAGCGGATGGTCCTACCGCAGTCCGATCCAGATTATCCCAGAATTCAACAGGAGTCTTGCTTTTTAGAACCGTTGAAACAGGAAAGCGTCAATTCATTGAGAAATGTCGCGCTCAAGGGTTCTTTGAACCTGGTCTCCAGCGCCTAGCTCGTAAGTTCAGTGGTCTCATCTGCATACTCAGAACATGTGTAAGTATCGATCTGCGATTTCTAGGATGGGTTAAGACACACGCGCACGCGCGCGCGCCAAAATGCAAGCGCTTCGTTTTGAGCCTACTGATGAAATCAACATGCGTTGCAGCAGAAATGGCTCGCTCGCCTATTCTAGTCAACGCGAAGACTCCTGCTTCTGATACAAAGGAATACTTGTCAATATTTTCAATTATGAGGAGCCCTGTCGCTCAGAGGGGCTGCTGCCATAGAGCCATGTACCGTTACGCGACAGGCGGGTGGC